AAGTTCAAGTTTTGAAGGAGTCAAAGTTAATTAAAGAATTGAGGAAAATTTCGAAATAAATGAAGGCGTGAATATGGAATTGAGAATGAGTAGAGATTTCAAATTAAACTGGAGAGGTTTTGGACACGAAGTAGAGACTTCAAATTAAAGGATATTCAAAGAGTTGAAGTTTCCAGCAACAGAGATATTCAAAGAGTCGAAGTTATAAATGAAGGCGTGAATATGAAATTGAGATGGAGTGAGAGATTTCAAAACTGAGAATGAGTAGAGATTTCAAATTAAACTGGAGAGGTTTTGGACACGAAGTAGAGATTTCAAATTAAAGGATATTCAAAGAGTTGAAGTTTCCAGCAACAAACATATTTAAAGAGTCGAAGTTTCGTGCAGGAGATATTCAAAGAGTCGAAGTTTCGAGCAACAGAGGTTGCATAATTAATGTCAAAGTTTCGAGCAACAGAGGTTGGAGAGGTTTTGGACACGGAGTAGAGATTTCAAATTAAAGGATATTCAAAGAGTTGAAGTTTCCAGCAACAAAGATATTCAAAGAGTCGAAGTTTCGAGCAAGAGATATTCAAAGAGTCGAAGTTTCGAGCGACAGAGGTTGCATAATTAATGTCGAAGTTTCGAGCAACAGAGGTTGCATAATTAATTGAAGGAGTAGAGGTTGCAATCCAAATTAATTGAAGAGGTGAAGTTGCAAAAGCAATTCAAAGAGTAGAGGTTGCAATGTCTAAATTAATCAAGGAGTAGAGGTTGCAAGCAGCTGAAATTACAATTAGCAGTTGAGGTTTCTAATAGAATATTATTGTCTCACACAGCATTAAAAGTGAGAAAAAGTCTATAAAGTTATCTTTAAAGACTGAAAAAGGCTATGAGACCTGCTGACAAGAATTCAAATTTGAAATTGTCTTTTTGCAACGGACAATTTCTCAAATATCTATATAAAGATGAAGATCTGAATATGCCAAGCACAACGAGCTTACGAGAAAAACATAGAAGTGCATGCAAGTGCAAACAAGAAACATCAAGTGAAAATAAGGAGTGTACAAAATCTTCATCTAAAGAGAGACTTAGATATTCATTGAAGAATCCATCCAGAAGTCTCAAAGTTAGAAGAAAGAAAAATCTTGTTTTTCAACCAAGTGGTTTCTTTACCGGAGTGTAGATAGAAGATTGTCACATGGAGTTGTGAAATCCTAGTGTCAGTGCTGGAGGCACTAGAGTGGTGTGATTAGTGTGGGTTTAGTGATTGATAAGTGTCAAAGACACACTTTTGAGGGCCTTTTAGAGTGAATTCTAGGCTTAAAGTAATCCTTTGTGTAGCAATAATGTGCCAAATAGCTATGTTTTACATTATTTTGGAAATTACCACCGCACTTTATGTTTTACAAGTTTTCAGGTAAGTTTCGGGCTTAAACGAGGCTGTTGTGTTTGTCTCATATAGGGATTAGGAATATGAGTTTGTCTCGTATAAGGAATAGGAGTGAAAGGGAGATTAGATGCCTATAAATATATTGAATGTATCTCATCACCTGGATCACCATCACAAATAATAAAAGAATACTTTCACTCCCGTGAATGTAGGCACATTGCCGAACCACGTAAGTCTTGTCTTCTTTACTTTCAGCTATTATTATTTTTCTTGTTCTTGTTAATCTCAACAAATTGGTATCAGAGCACTGTTGAGATGACTAGTTCAAGTACAAAATTTGATGGTACAGGGAATTTTGGGTTATGGCAATCTAGGGTAAAAAGATTTGTTGGCACAACAAGGCCTTCTGAAAACCTTGAAGGCGGAAAAGCCAGCTAATCTGGAAGATGATAATTGGGAGGATTTGAAGGAGTGTGCGGCAAGAACCATTCGGTTATGCCTGGATGATGGAATTGTGTATCACGTTATGGCCCTAAAAGCCCTAAAAAGAAATTTGGGATAAATTGAAAATTTATCAATTCAAAGATTCCTTACCTTCAAATTTATTAATTTATTTTGTTCACTACATTCTCCATTGTCTTCTTTTTACATTATCTTGTAATTAAATAACAAAGTTATAATACAAAATATGATCTACATATATGTATGTATGTATGTATGTGTGTGTGTGTGTGTGTGTGTGTGTGTGTGTGTGTGTGTGTGTGTGTGTGTGTATTTTCCAAGTATTGTATACAAATATAATAAATATTACGAGTAATATTTTGTTCAATACTTTCACATGTAACCTATGACACACATCTCACAATATCAACAGATGCTTGTAAGATAAAGAGTTCATATTACAACTAAGATCCCAGTCACATACACAACAAGGCAAATCTATAGCTTCCTACACCATAATTTCATTTGCATGATGAATCCCTCTATGCTACCACTAGTAACCCAATTCCACATGACACACTATTAAAAGAAAAAAAAAAAAGAAAAAAAAGACATGTACTGAAGATGAAGACAATGACAATGCTACCCAAAAAGAATTAAGAAGAATTAGAGAAATTTAAATCAAAAGTAATATTTATTTAGACTATTGCTTTTACACTAAGTATTTAGACTAGCGTTATTATAAAGTTGCAAATATTTATTTTAGTGACTATTATAATCAATCTCTCATATATTATTTTGCATTTATATACTTTAAATTACCAATTTAAATAAACAAATTCAAACATTTGTTTACCTATGCATAAACATTTCCTATATAATATTGCATTGATATACTTTGAAATACTTATTTAAAAATAATCATTGAGCATTATTCCATTCGCGCAAAGCGCGTAAAAAAACTAGTAAGTTTATAAGGGTTAAAAGATGTATAATCGAGAAAGATTATGAGTTTTCTAAAAGGAGGTTTCACATTCCTAAAGGGATTTCTATTCCTGGAAGTTATCCATTCATTTTGAAAGATGGTTTCTCATCACATCTATAAATACGCAGGAAAACTCTAGGGATTTTTACGGTTTCAAGTCTCTAAATTTTCTAGTCTCCATATCATAGGAGGTGATTAAGGTATACGGATTAGAGAGTTGAAGCATTCTTGATTTAAGTCAATTTAAAGAATACATCTTCAACGGAACAAGTAAGTTTTGTCTTTACTTCTATTTAATTGAAAATCCATGATCATAAACATTATTTAGTTGATTGATTTGATTTACATGCGATTTATTGTTAATTGTGCTTCCGCATTCAAGTTATAGTGCATAAAGATTATTTAATATATAGTATCAGAGCACTGCTTGTAAATTGATTAATCACTAAAATTAGGGTTCATATTTGGAGATTTTTAATTATAAGGTTTAATTGATCGTCACTGTCGTATGGTTTGTGTTCGTTGATGATGGACTTATTATATGGATGTGTACATAATTTAATTATGGGTTTGTCGCGATGGAATCAATAGGCATGGATTAATTAATATCCTCAATTTGGTTTTGTGTTCGTCCAACATCAACATATATGTTTCAAGAAGTGTACGTACTATTCATAAAAAGAAAAAAAAATGATTCAATTTCAGGACATACAAATCAAATATGTTGTATATGATTTATATATGTTCGTACTGTACAATATACATTAGGGTGGCAAACAACCATATTATTTGTTATGGAATCAGTAAGGTATATATGGTTGTGTATGTTCATACTGTACCTTTTTCGAATTAATATGGTTCTCCATATTACTTGTTATTACATGATTTATATAGTATATGGTTTGTCACTATTAATTAGGGTTGTGCAATACCCGAACCACCCGAATTACTCGCCCGATCCGAACTAGTGTTCACCGAACGGTGATGAAATCCGAGAAGTTCGGATAATATCGGAACCGGCCCTACGCGTGTGTGGCTATAAAAGGCGGACGGGTAGGGTTAGGAAATATCCCATCCGAATCCGTCCGAGATCCAAAATATGGCCTAAGTATAAAACCTTGCGTAGACCTAGGGTTTGCCATTTCCATTCTCTGAGACTCTCCACTCCTCAGAGCTTCTTCTCGAATTCTCCTTAGTCTCATCTAGCCATCCCCATCCGATCTTCAGTCCTTCACTCCTTCAGTCCTTCTCATCTAATCTTCTTCCATAATCTCCTTCTCCGGTGAATCTCTGATTCTCTGAACTCTGAGTCTGAGAGTCTGAACTCCCCTTCGACTCCTTCGAGGCTTCGAGTCTTTGACAGATCGATGGGAATCTTGTGGAAGTGTCTGTGGCTCTGTGCAAACTGGAAAGACGGCAAGAAGGAAGAAGCCGGACGGCAGTGAAAGTTTGACGCCTTGAAGCCCTAGATCTCAGAGGGAACCTTTGAGAAAATAAGTAAAATGTAACTCTGCCATTTTTTTCTTATTTTCCCGTTGCATGTTTGTGAGTTTGTCGGTTCTGTTCTAGTTCTATGATGTTGCATGCACCCTAATTTGTAACTGAACCCTAATTTTTAGCGCTTTCCTCATACGTGATGAATTTGTGCGTATTCTGATATGTGTTTGTAAGTTTATGGTTAAAGGACCCTTAAATTTGTTGCATGAACCTTAAATTTGTTATTTCAAAATGTATGGTGGTGGTGGAAGTGTGGAACTGTGGAAGCCTACTGAAATTGTAATTGATATTATGAATTTATGATGTCCATGTTGAATGCTAAATTGCTAATAGTTTACTTTTGGAAATTGGAATGAATGTTGTTGAATACTTGAATTGTTGATGGGTTGATGGTTGACTGTGGAAGTGTTAAGCCCTAATTTGTGGGCATTTCCATAAAATGATGAGTTCATGATTCATGATTCATGACTCCTGATTATGGAATGAATTTGTTAATGTGTTATATGTAATTATGTATGTCAGTACTCAGTACTGAGTGTTTACTGTTAAGCCCTAATTTGTGGTCATTTCCATAAAATGATGAGTTCATGAATCATGAATCCTGATTATGGAATACATATCAGTGTGACAGTGTATGGCCTTAAGTCAGTTATGTGTGCTTGTGTGAAATGTGAATCCAATTTGCTCATCCCTAAATCTTTATAGATGGAGAGCAATCAAAATATAAGTGGAAGTGGAACTGGACCTCTTCCATCTTCAACAGTGGATGAACAAGGAGTACAAACCCCAGGCATTGAGACAAGTGCTCAACAGCCTATGGCCACTCCTAAAGTTCCTTCTGTTAAGAAGAGGAAGGAATTAGAGTCTAGATCCATAGTGTGGGAGCACTTTGAAAAGATCAAAGATCCTGAAACTAAAATAGTGATTAAAAGTAAATGCCTTTACTGTGCAAAAGAGTATTTTTGTGAAACTAAAAAACATGGCACATCATCATTAAGAAATCATATGGCCAGTTGTCTTAAAAATCCTCATTCAAAGGATACAAGGCAGTCTCTACTCACATTCAACACTATGTCCACTTCTGAGGGTGGAACAGAGGCTCCTGGGGGTGTTTTGGGGACATGGGTATTTAATCAAGATGCCATTAGGAGGGCCCTTTGTGAGATGATAATCATAGATGAGCTCCCTTTTAGGTTTGTAGAGGGCCAGGGGTTCAAGAGGTTTATTCTGGTTGCTTGTCCTAGGTGGACCATTTCTAGGGACATCTACCAAATTTTTCTTGATGAGAGGCTAAACCTTAAGAAGTTGTTTAGAGTGGGAACTCAAAGGGTTAGTCTAACAACTGATACATGGACTTCTGTCCAGAGAATCAATTATATGTGCATTACTGCACATTTTTTAGATGACCAGTGGAAGCTTCATAAAAAAATTATATCCTTTGTCCCAGTTTCTTCTCATAAGGGGGAGTACATTGCAAAAGCCCTAGAGAGTTGTTTATTAGAGTGGGGAATTAAGAATGTGTTTACTGTAACATTGGATAATGCTTCCTCTAATGACACAGCTATGGGGTTTTTTAAGAGTAAACTGTTATCTTGGGGTTCTTCTTCTGTTAAGGTTCAGTACATGCACATGAGGTGCATAGCCCATATCCTCAATTTAGTGGTCCAAGATGGGTTGAAGTTTGCAGATGAGTCAGTCAAGAGGGTGAGGGGTGCAGTGAGATGGGTTAGGAACTCACCAGCTAGGCTGACAAAGTTCAGAGAGTTTGCTGAACTGTTTGGTGTGGAAGCTAAATCAGCTTTGCATCTTGATGTCCCTACAAGGTGGAACAGCACCTACATTATGCTCAACACTGCAGTTCAATATCAAGTAGTGTTTGATGCATATGAGAGAAATGACCCCTCTTATTCTGCTGACTTGGAGAGTGCTCCTACCTTCTTGGATTGGTGTTCTGTGGAAAGCTTAGTGAAGCTGTTGAAAGCATTTTATGATATGACAGTGAGGATCTCTGGTTCACTTTATGTCACATCCAACACATTCTTCTCTGAGATCTCTGATCTTAGTTGCATGCTTGAAGCTATGGTGAACTCTGATCATGGGACTGAAAAGGTATTCTCATTTATCTTTAAATTTGTTTGCTTTATTATTTTTTGTAATTGTTGTAATTCTGTAAACTAATAACTTTTTTTTTCTGTTTTAGGCAATGGGGACACAAATGAGGAACAAGTTTGACAAATATTGGGGGGATCCAGAAAAAATGAACTCTATCATTTTTTTTGCCAATATTCTGGACCCCAGAGATAAGGAGGAGTACATGCCTCATCAGTTTGCCCAGTTGTATGGAGAAGAGAAAGGCATAGCTTGTTTTACCGAGGTCCAATCTGCAATGGCTGCTTTATATGATGACTATGCAGCTGCATACTCTCTCAGTTCTACCCAGACTGCATCCTCTACTCAAGCAGTCCAGTCTGAGGCTAACCAGGCTACTACTTGTAAAGTTGGTAGACCTCAGTCATCTTTGAAGAGCCAACTTAAAAAAAAAAAAAAAAAAAAAAAAAAAAAAAAAAAAAAGATTGGAAAGTAGTGGAAGCAGTAAGCAAACTGAGCTGCAAGTATACTTAAGTGAAAGTCTTGTGGAGGATGATGAATCTGTTGCTTTTGATGTGTTAAAGTGGTGGAAGAGCCATAGTGAGAGATTTCCTATTCTCTCCAAAATGGCTAGAGATGTGCTTGCAGTTCCTATCTCCACAGTTGCTTCTGAGAGCTGTTTTAGTACATCCGTTTAGGAGTTCATTGACTCCTAAAATAGTGGAAGCACTAATATGTACTCAAGATTGGTTGAAGGCACCTAATTAGCCAATCCAAGTTGAGGAGAACCTAGAGGAGGTTGAAAGATTTGAGAAAGGTAAGACTTATCACTTTCTTAGTTACTTTTTTTATTCTTTATTAAGTTTATTTCCTTTTCACTTTCTTTCTTACTTATTCTGTTTTTCACTTTTGCAGAATTGCCGACTGGAGCTTCATCTACTATACCATCAATGTTGCCTACATTCATTGTAATGTTTTTAATATCTATTTACAATGTGTTCATTTCTTTAATTAGTTTGATATTCTGTTATGTACTTATGTTGTTGCAAGTGGTGTTTAGCCTCTAAGTGGCTTGGCAACTTTCTGTTATTGATTTGTTGCTGCCATTAGATGAGTTGAGCCCAATTTTGCCCATTTCTCTACAGTCTGGAATTCTGGTATAACTCTTCCTTGCTCTGTTTTCAGTTTGAATGTGTTTGTTTTATTTGGTGGCTATATGAAGCTTCCACTTTTGTCTGAATAAATGGAATGGAGTTGGTATGTTGCCAATGTGCTAATATAACACATTCAGAGCAATGTGCCCACATTCTTACTTGATATGGAAAATTGCACTCTGAGCCACTTAGCCTAGTGAATAATTGCTTAGTATTGTTAGTCTAAATGTCTAATTGTCTGTTTTCTAAACTCTAAACACTAATATCGTTTTAAGTTTGAATACTAGCAGGAAGAAGAATAGATTATCTAGTTTAGTGTTGATTTTGCCGACTATTCATAGTCTGATTTTGTTGAATTGCTGAAGAAGAACTGAAGAGTGAATGGCACAAAGAGTACAGGTGCTAATAGCTGACTGAATGACTCAAGTCTATGACTTACTGCTTAAGTGCTTAACAACTTAAGTGCTTAATGTATTTTGTTCAAGTTAAACACTTAAGTCTTAAGCATGATTTTTTGTATAATCATTGAAAATCTGTAATTATTAACTTACTTTGAAACTTTTATAGTTGTATGCTTGTATGTTTTGCTATACTATGGTAATGAAACTTAGTAAGCCTTTAATTTATTGCTATTATGACTTATTTATCTATTTTAGAATTTTTTTATATTAATTTATTATATCCGATTATCATCCGAAATCCGACAACGGATAACCGAAATCCGAACCTACGATATCCGATAGGATCTGTCCATAAAAATAAACGGATAGGGGGGTAAAAATGAAATCTGAAATCCGGTCGGATGGACGGATTGGAAATCCGATCCATCCGTATCCGACCGATGCTCAGGCCTGCTATTAATCATGTATTATATATGTTATAAGAGAACGACATATAAATTAATTTGAGCCTATTTAGGTTATTTAAGGCATTATGGATTCGCTTTAAATTTTAGACTCATTTAATTTGGACTTATATTTGAGCTTATTTGATTTATTTAACGCATTAAGGACTTGCTTTAAATTATAAGCTCATTTGGATCAATTGTGGTTGGAGATTATATCCACTAATAATTTATATATATGTTTATAAATGAATTGTTAGCATAAAGCGAGTGTTTTAATCGCCAAAGCGGCCCACTCAAGGTAATAACTAAATAATCATTTATGTTTATGTTTACAACATATATATAAATTAAGGTTTGCTCACATAAATGATTTATTAGCATAAGGCGAGTGTGTCAGTCGCCAAAACGGCTCCACTCATGGCAATAGCTAAATAATCATTTATGTTTATGTTTACAACATAAATTGATGTTTATTCACATAAATAAATTATTAACATAAGGCGAATGCGTTAGTCATCAAAGTGGCTCACTCAAGGAAATAGCTAAATAATTATTTATGTTTACGAAAGTTTATCGTACACATGTATTTTGCATCATTGAATGACACTAAGGCTCCGTTTGGAAAGCAGTAAAATGACTTCTGGAAAATGAGTCATTTTCCAGAAAACATTTTTCTTTCCGGTGTTTAGCTACACAACGGAAAATCGCCTTTTTTGTGTTTGGTTCATTTTCCAGAAAATGAGCTGGAAAATGTGTGTAGTGTATATATATACTATGTACACAGCTCATTTTCCAGTGTGTCCCGTGTCTCCCAAAACGATGTCGTTTTGGTAAGTTATGTAGGGAGTTGACGTGATTATGTGTATTTGTTTATACAATTATGTGTATTTGTTTATACACACTACAAGAAAAATCGCGAATCGCGACGGAAAATCGCGACGGACTATATTCCATCGCCATTTAGCGACCGAAATTGCGACCGAATACATTCCGTTGCGAAATGGCGACGGAATAGGCGACGGAATTTAATTCTGTCGCGAATCTTGGCGCAAAGATAAAATAAAGCCCGTGAAATATTGGCGGCAAATTTTCACGACCGAATTTGCGATGGAAGTAATTTACGTCGTCTATGTTGCGACGGAAAAGGCGACCGATTTGTGTTCCGTCGCGAAATGGCGACGAAATTTGCGACCGACTTGATTCCGTCCTTAAATGAATTAATTTTTAGATTATGGACTAAATATGGCGACAAAAATTGCGACCACTTAGATTCCGTCGCAAAATAGTTTTATTAAATTTTATTTTTCTTTTACTTAAAAGCTGGCGTTTTGAGTATGAAATTAAAATTAAAATAAAATAAAAGTTTGTAACCCTAAGTGCGTGCAAACATCTCTCAGAATTAGAACACTCCATCTCGCTGAACTCCTCCATGCTGACCATCGCAGAACACCATCGTCGTGCAGCCCTCCTCCTCCGTAGCCTCCTCCTCCGTAGCCGTGCAGCCTCCTCCTCCATTAATTTGTGACTGGTATTTCTCTAGCTTTTTTTTTTTTCAGTTCAAATTACATTGCGAGAATGTTTTCTGGTTTTCTGATTTCTGATGGAAAATTAAAACTGTAATTTTTAATTTCTGTACTTGGATATTTTGTTTTGTTTGGAATCTGAATGACTGAGTTGTTTAAAAGTTCCCTTGTATACCAGTACGTTTTTATGCCCTATCGAGGAAAGAAAACGTGAAATGTAGTGTAACACCCCGTGTTACGGCCTTCAATCCTGGATTAATTATTTAATTAATCCCGTTAATAATAATTAAATATGATTTAATTGAGTTAGGTTTCCCTTTAACTAATTAATAAAGTCCACCATGAACCGTGGACCCTTGCCTAAATAAGAGTTTTAAGCCTATTAGGAATAAAGGAAGTAGGCCTTTTACTATTCAGATTATGATTAGGATTCTCTTTAATTAATTAATATAGTCCACTATGGACCATGGACCCTTATCACTAAAACAAGTCCTTAGTCCTATAAGGAATAGAATTAGTAAACCCATACCATTCAGGCCCTAATTAGGAGTCTTAAATATATAAATAGGGATATAGGAGGCACCTAGATCTTTCACCACAATAATCTCTTACCACACAAGAAGTTCCAAGAATTCCCTTAGGAGAAATCAAGAAAGAAGGAAGCTTAAAGAAAGACCCTTCATAGCCAAGGAATTAATTAAGGCTAAGAGGTAACCCATGTCTCAACAAAACCTATTTTCATAGTTATGATTCCCTTCTTAGGATTTCCCCTTATTCTTGTGTATTGATGATTCATTATATTGTTCTTGACGATTGGTGTTATGATTCCATGGGCGATCTTGATAAACTTGTTGATGAAAAGGGATTCTTGATGATTGTGTGATTCTTGATGGAACCTAGTTTCTTGATGATTATGTGCCATTCTTGATTGTTATTGATGTTTAAAGAGGAATCGTGTTCTTGTTAAATTGGATGCGTCTAGGGCCCTAGGCTGTACCGTGAAATTCGTATGGTGTTATTCTTGATGTATTGGGTGGGAATTCGCATGTTCGGGTATTAATTATGTTTAGAAAAGCATGATAGGATATGTGCCGTATGTTCCTGCTTCTGATCCATTAATTGTCTACGTGTTGTTATCAATTGCGTTTGAAAGTGTCTAAGCATGGTTTCGGGTTCCACTAAGGTTCCCGGGGCGTTTATTTTGATAAAGAGTTAGTGGGGGGTAGGTGGGGGTAGGGGACCCGCCACCTACCCGCGGCCAACTTTGAAGTCGCCGGCAGCGGGCAGCCGGCGGGCAGGCGACTGCCCGCTGCCCGGAATCAAGACGCCGGCGGGTGACTCCTCACCCACCGGCTACCCGCTGATTTTACCCCACCTTGGGATTCCGGCTTCCCCGTTTGATGTTCCCCCGACCCCCGTGGTGTCCCAACGGAATCCGTCTATCGTGCCTATGTCTAGTTGATGTTCGGGTACCATTCGTAGGTTGAATAAGTCTTATATATTGCATGCTAGTTGAATTGGTATCTCGTTGACCTAGGTGAAAGAAGTATGAACCCCTTAGGATTATTCTTAGTGTGTGAATGATCACGCATAGGTTTCGTTATACGATTTCTTCCCCTTCCCAATGTGTCAATGTGGGTTGCATGTGTTTGCTATGTGTTATGTGTGCATGATACCCCAATTCGGTTGCGATCGAATTGGTTATTCCTGAGCTGTGGTTCAGAAGCTGGCTGCGGTCAGATTTACACTCTCGAGCTGCGATCCACCGTTTGGTTGCGATCAAACATTTTACATGAGCTGCGGTTCATATTCCTGGCTGCGGTCAGATGACTACGCTTGGGCTGCGGTCCACTGTTTGGTTGTGATCAAACATTATGATGAGCTGCGGTTCATCGGTCGGTTGCGATCGACCCCTCCGTGTTGCGATACGGGGCAGGGTGCTGCGGGGCCGTGTCAGAGCTATATGCGCTGACCCTCATGTATGGGCATGCGATTGGTCCTGTGGCGCCATCAAAGTGTGCTATGTGATGAGATATGGATGGTTTGATGTTATCAATACTATGAAATCGTGACCATAGGATACATGCTAGTAAATCGTATATGCTTGGTTATGACTATTGACTGTGCTTACCTGTCGAGTCTGTTCCCTATGCTTGTGAATCGTATGACTATTGACTGTGTTTATCCCTATCTGTCGAGTCCATTCCCTGTTTTAAAAGCTAGAGTCTCTTAGGATATATCTTCATGCTTCGAAATGGTCTTTCTTATATCTATGTATATATCTATATGTACTGTATTTCAACGCGTTGGAGTGGGTTACCAGCATCTCTCGCTGAACAGATATATTTGGCTTTCAGGCACTGAGGAGTAGACACTGGAGCACGCTAGAGTCTTGGAGCGTAGAAGTAGATAGTTTCCCTTTCGGCCTGCGTGCCATGCTTATGCATTTACATTATTGAGGATATTAGTTAGTTAGCCTGTGCACCTGAGTTCCCTAGCTCAGGTGTGGCATAGCACCCCGTACTCTTTATGTTATATCTTGGGATTTAATGAGAATTTACCTTTATTATATAAGTCTTAAGAGTTGAAAAATTTCGGGGTGTTACATGTAGTTCTAAGATGCACTATAGAATGAATACTACTTATTCAATAGTACAATACAGTATATCAGGTGGCTCCAAGTGATGAAATAAGTTCTGCAAATAAGTTCTCCAGTATA